GTAGGACTGTAATTGCAAATATATTTCTGAATTATGACAAAATGTGCTTCAGTTACCTCACATTTTCTTCACTTTGTCAGTTTCCTGGCTGAAAAAAAAACATGAAACTCTGCATTTCATTTCGAATGACTATAGATATACAACAAACATTCTGCATGTCTGTTTCATTCTGTTACAACAATGCTGCACTCTTGTAACTCTCTTCGTACACAACATGCACAGCAAATAAGGTAGTGTTCAAAACCAAAAAAGCCTTTTTATCCCTTCACAAGTAATGCTTTTCTCAAGCATTTATGAAAAACTGAGAACATTTTACAGCAGTCAGCAAAAAACAGAAACAGTAACACATAAATACAATATTTTTTCTTCATTAAATTATAAAACCTTCATAAAGAACAGTACTCTACATTTTTATAAAAATATACAATTTTGCTTACTGTACAGTATGTTGTCATGTAGCCAACAGATGTATTTTTGCCTTTTAGTATCATATACAGTAAGAAAGCAATGTGATCCATGATTTTATTATATTACAATTGTAGTTATACATAACGTTTATTAAAATAATTATGTAGTATACTTTCTAAAAATCCTAATAATACAATGTGTTTCTGAAAAGTGCTTTTTATATTTTAAGTCCACGCCTCAGTAAATTGTTGATCATAGATGATTTGTTAAGTCCTGACTGAGAAGGGATTTATATTAGATAAGTGGTGCAAAGTTATTCTGAAACTGTTGAACTATGAAGAGTAAAACTATGTGTCATATAGTGTAAATTTGGGAGATTTACAGGCAACATGGAATGGCATTGCAATTAGCTGTTCGGGGTACCAGACATTTGGGAGATCACAGTTCTCAGTCACAGTTCAAGTTATTTTTCTAATATCAGAGGTCAAACTTGGGAAAAGGTAGGGTCTCTTTTTCATATTAGGTAAAGTTAGGTATACATATTATTTGGAGAATATGCTGTTGTATTAGTGAAGCTCTGTAGCTGTGAAAAAAAATACTTTTATAAATATACCATGAACAACAGCCAATAACTACCAGTTCACTTTGCCTGGTAGGGTGTACGGTACGTCAGATTATTTGAAGACATAAAAAGTATTCATAAAATGAATTGTAGCTAGTTAAGTAACTATAGCAACATATCCTTTACTCTTAACCTGATCCAGGACAGGTGAAGTTAAACTCATCCTGCCTTTGAGGTTAAGATCTCAACTCACAGACCAATCAGTCCCCTGTAAAAAACAACATCACTTTCAGTTGCCATTAGAACTTTTTGGAGAGAATGAAAGTTTAAAGATCGCTGAAAACTTTACTGATATTTTTAATTTGAAAGATGCCACTCCAGCAGACAGGATATACTTTACTTTCATGATCTCTTAAGCCCATACATTGTTAATACTGCTTGTCATAACACACTCTGTGCATTGGGCTGAAATAACTTGTAACTGGTTCAATTTTTTTACTGGTTGGTAAATTGAAGATCTTCAGTAAAGCAACAGGATGTTTGCACTTAACATTTTTTGCTGTTTTCATAACATGCATAATGTTTTCAGGCCATATATTAGTGTATACCATCAAAGAGGAGTTTCATGAAATAGCTGGTAATACTCTCATACTGTAATTGTGAACATTTCTTGCAGCATTTCCTAAGATAATTGATGTTCTGGACTGCATAATATCCTCAATTAATACCCCGCAGGGCTAAAGAAGGATGATTTTTTTTAAACAGAAAATCAATTCACAACATCAATGTACAGTGAAATATATAATTCTAGCCTAAAAATATGAAAGTTGATTACAAAAAAGACATTTTTACCTGGCTTCAGACTTTGTGCAACCTGGGGGGACTCACGTATACTACTTAATTTACAGCACATAAATGTTGGGAAAAAGACAATATCCCAATAAAGGAAGACATTCTTAATTGTGCTGACTATGATTCCTCCTCCTCCAGTCTTACTCTGCTCATGTTTCTTCTTGTTGGCTAAAATTAGGGAACATTTTCATTTAGAGAATTTTAATGCACTGTGGATGATATTCTCATGCTTTGTCTTGACCTGTTGCCAGGTCCCCCATTGTGGTCCAGCTACTCTAAATGCATAAATTACTGCTGCATAAAATATTTTTTACAACTACCCAACAGCTTAAAGAGGAGCTCCTCTTCAATGCCATTAGAATTAAGTAACAAGTAAAGGTTTATTCCTTCACACCTGAAGTAGGCTCCACAGATGAAATGTCGTGTTTCTTTTCTTTTCAGCATGGAATAAACATTTACTTGTTACCTACGCATACTGACACATCTACCTACTTGTAATAATTAAGTAAATTATTAAATTAAGTATTATGTAATTATATACATTGTTTAATAAATTGAGTAATACAAATGCATGCATGCTCATGCAATTTTTGTAGTTTGTTTTATCTTTATATTTTCCATGGGATTTCATAATTAACTTTCACATTCATTTATTGGTGATTCTTTGTCAGACATCTTCTCTAGGTTTTACAACAGCTACTGGATAATTACTCACTCTTTCATTAGGTTTTATCCTCATGGTTTTCCATAAGGAACTGTAATTCTTGGATTAAGACATATTCCTTTACTGTGATTTTTCTGGCACAGATAAGGGATTCAATGCTCAGCCCTCCTGCCTACTAAAATACGGTAACTATGCACAGTTGGTCAGGTTGAGTTGTTTTTACCACATAATGTAAACCTGAGTTTGCCTTGGTTTAGCAGAGTTATCCTGAGGTCAATTATCAGGTTAATTCTATCCAGATACCTTAAGAACTTTCTGAATTAGTAAAACCTGCTTCACGAAACAGTCCCCTGGTGTAATCCCCATTGACTTTGGTAGAATTCTGGGAGAACACAGAAGTTCTAACTTGACTGGACTCGAACTAAAATACTATGCAGTTGATGTTTAGTGTGTGATGAGGACACTACAGTTGACAGTGGTATTGGAGGTGCTGACAGGGTGATGTTGTCATGTCACTTTCAGAAGAAAATTGGGTTTCACTATTACAGATGAGTAAAATGCTTGTGTATTTACTTTCCTACTGAGGCTACGATGGCTGCAGAAAGGATGAGCTCTTCAATAAACAGTAAAGTTCTCCTTTTACAACCATTTCAGAAAAGACTGGAAAAAACAAAGGCATTCATATGACTGCAATAATATAAAATTTGTCTGGGTATTTTACAGATTATTAGCTGTAAATGTAATGCTGAAAGGTAAGGGGGGGGGGGGGGTAGATTTACTATTAAAATATTTTTATGTGCTCGGGGGTATACTTCTTATACCAACATTGATTATGTCTTTAAACATCCTGTACCTTTTTGGCAATACAGACGTGTAACGAGGGATAAACACAAATGAGACAAGCAGACCATCTGATGGGGGAAAACAGTATTGCTAGATAAATATGCAGGCAGAGGGGCATAAAGTGTGTTCTCTGCAACTACCCACCAATCAGATATTTGTCACAAAGGCAAAAGTGTAATGTGAGTTTCCAGTAAGCACAAAATTGCTTCTGACAATCCCCACCTGCATATGCTAAATATCGTCCCTTTAAGTGGAAGTTACTATATGAATCGCCTGAAACCTCTGTAAAAGTTTCCCAAACAGTATAATTAAATAACAAAGTAAGAGGTGACTATGATGTATATCAAAATCGAGGCTGGCCATGTCCAAAGAGGAAAAAAAAAAGTTGCCAATGAGTTCCAACGTCAAATACCAAAGCTTCAGCAGTTCAGGCCTGATTTTAGAGGAATTAAATTTAAGGTATTTTTATACACTAAGAGTAATTTAAGAAAAAAGAGGACTCATTTTTATATTTGAGAAAAGATTAATTTCCTTTTAGCACCTTCCAGGCAGAGATTTTATCTCTGGAAAGTATTACTTATTTTAAGAAACAGTTCTTGTAATTTGGCATCAATTTTAGTGATCTGACTGTCCTGTGGAGGGTTTTTTGTTGCTTAGAAACAAACATTGTCTCCCTTTACTGTTCTGTTTCTGTCAGATTGTAACAAAGATAGTTCATCTCAGAGGGGATATGTGAAAGTAGACTTGGATTATAGAAGGCCTCAGAAACTTGCAGTCCACATACAATTATTTGTAATAGTATGAATGTGTGAGTTAGTTTGAAAATAGATATCCTTTTGCCTTTTTATGTTTTTTTATTGGAACAACATCTTATTTTGACATGGACATAAGTAACTGTGTGACACACTTGGTGCGATTTCATTACTTATTCTAGGACAAATGTTTTTAATGTAGTATTATGTCAGTCTTTTACCTTTTCACATTTATAAAACAACCTCTAAACTATAAAAACAAGTGACTGCCCCATTTATAATAATTGATGTCAAAATGGGATATATTATAATTGTAATTCTGTAAAATGACTGCACCCACAACCTAACATATTGCAATATTTTACAAATCAATTACAAAAAAGATATCAGTAGAACACTTGAACTTTAATTTACATGGACTTTGAAGGATGTTAAGTGAGCAGTTTTTAAAACGTGGTTTCAACAAAAGAAGGTTTTTTATATTTTGCTGTCAAACACAAAGTCAGGAATTAGAGCACAGATTTCCATTACTGACAGTAATACAGTAACATGTATGTCCTCCTCTTGCATTAACATGATCTTGGCAATGTTTAGTCATACTCCTTATTACCCATCTAATTGCATCTTCTCAGACAAAAGAATAGAATAATCTCTTTTAAGCCTGAAATTAAATCAGAATATAAGCAAAGTAGACCAGGTATACTGGCATGGCAGAATTACAGAGGAAATAAGTTATAATCAGCCATAATGGTCCCTCTGGACCATTATTCCCAAAATAAATATCCCGGTGTAGTGACCAGAGATACTGTGCTGGAAAAGATGCTATCCTCCTTTTAATTAAAGATCCCTTAACACTTTTCATAAGAGTAGGAGTGTTAATCTTGCTATCTTCACAAAGATTCACTTTTGGATTTTACAGTTGGGATCATTTTTATGCTGGATAGCGGAGCTGCTAGAGCATAATGACACGTGTGATCCAGATGAGTTCTGCACTTCGGTGATGAATAAAGTAGGTCCCCTCCTTTATATGAAGTGCTCCACGATCCTTTGGGTTTAAAAGTTCTATATAAATGCAATTGATTGTTATTATTATAAACCTTTCCCTTCCTAAGCTGAAGCCTATGTTAGCTTATTAATCATTGCTGGTTCTGACAATATCTGACTAAATAGATCTTACCTTTTGACTTACTGATGATGAACAAACACAGCTGGGAAAAACACTGTATTGGATACCCACAATGACCATTTATTCCACCTGCAAATTTCCAATTGGTTTTAAAAGCTAAAAGCAATGCTCCAAATTGAAAACTGAAATTAGTTAGCCCATGCTAAAAAAAACTCAGCTGGATAAAAAGTTAGAAGTTTGGTTGGAAGCCATTATCCTAAAATGCTGTCCATTCTCCAGGTACTGTACAGTACATTCTCCACTATCTGCTCACAATTCTGATACACCCATTCAGCTACCTCCGTGTGGCACAATCTTCCAAAATCATTACCTTCCTTACCATTTCCTGCTATTTGACTGATTCCACTGATACACCAGAAAAAATATCTGCAACAATAACTTTACTGCTGAGACACTTTGACGCTGAATGTGGTTTTAGAAAACGGCCAACCAGAAAAAAGACTATAGAGTATTCTTAAGTTTTATATATGAGTCATCATCCTTTTCTATACCCAGTGGCTGCAATTTTAACTTGATTTTCTTCAAACACTTGTTTTTCAGATGCACTATGCCTTAACCCTCCATTCTAACCAGAACATATCAAAATTATGATAGGTCAAAAATGACATTTCTAATTTTTTATTTCATTGATCAGTTTATCGAGAATTTGTGTATTTATAATAAATGTATTGTCATGTATAGTAATCAAAATATATGAGAAGGAAAATAAAAGTATACAAAATTGTACAGTAAGTGACTGCTTACAAAAAACACTGCTTTAATTCCGTCAAATGTGCCAGTTCTGAAAAGGTGAGTGATGACAGTTGATGCTATAGTATTCTTGTCATACAGGTTGTATTTTAGTTTTTTTTGTACTCAAAACAAGAAGCAATTGCTTCCCCTTACAAAATTTGAAGCTAAGATGACATTTTCTTTGTTTGTTTCCTGATTGTAATGATATGCACAAAATAGTGCTTGAGGCAAAAACATTGCGGCTCTGGGATGAGGGGGTTTATGCCACAATGGTTACTTTGTTTTGCTTTTCACAATGAACCTTGCATTTATTTTACTCGCTGTTTGAGCTGAAAATCAATAAACATGGGTCCAAATTTGCAAAAATGAATGCACTGTGTATGCTCAGAAAGGTTCTTAGCAAGATTATATTTATATATGAATGATTAAATGGCTTGTTTATAACTTAACTGTTAAGGTGATCTCAAGAGTTGAGAGTTTTTTTCAGTTATTGGTGATTTTTCGTGATATTCATATAAATGTCTTCTGAGAGAACAAAATAATAGGCTGGAGAAGAGTATTTTCTTATGTTGACGGATCAGACCAGTGTTTCCACTAGAGTTGCTGTCAGCCTAGGGGTATGCAGACTTCTAAGAGGTTTCGTAATGCAGCTAGACATATGCCATGTCTAAAAAGCACCACTGAGATCAGTACAAACTAAAATTTCATACAATAACATGTATATACTACAGTGTATGGTAAATTGTGTGTGAAGTTGTAATGGTATGTATGCTGCTGTGGTGTAAACATACAGTACATGACAACAGTAAAAACTGCAAGAATTATTGCTCTAAACTTACAGAGTAAGATAATTTGGCAAAAACATTTGCCATTCAGTATGATGATCCATGGATCTAGGTGAAGAAGATTAGCTGATTGTGTTTGATACTGTGAATATACATGAGTACATATTGTTTACAAAAATAAAAAAACACAACCGGGCATTTTTATACTAAATAATGTTTTCTTAACTTTGAACATGATTAAAGCTGGATTTAACTGCTAGTGTGATTGTGCAGTTATGACCAAGTGATTGAACTGACTTGTAGCTTGTATGAGAAAGGAAAATCCTTGCTTGCAGTGAGGACATTATAACATACATGGAGAGAGACTTGCCTCAAAAAGATGAGTTCTGTGCTGCATGAAGCTTTAAATGAGACTGTCAGAATTGTCAGTTTTATCAAACTGAGGCCACTTGATGCCTGTTTCACATTTTTGTGCAGAGATAGGATCAGAACATCAGCAACTGTTGCTTCACACACACGTTGGCTTTCAATAAGAAAGTGCTTGACAGACTTTCACAGAAGCACATGTGTTTTATTTCTGTTCTTCCACTTCCCCAAGGTTCTGTGTGTGACAAATAATGTGATTAGCTCAAGATTTCCAATCTTACTGATATACTGTGTTTAGCAAGATGAATAATCTAAATTTGATCTGCACTAACATTCTGCACAAAATTCTGGAACTCCAGCTGTGGAGGCAAATACTTGGAGGCAAGGATTTTAACTATATTCCACTTCTTCTCAATTTTGACACTAATGTCCACACATGGGACACTGAGCAGTGCAAAATTAAAGAAATGACACAGATAGACCTTCAACAAAATGGGTTTGACCAATGCAGATTTGATTACACACAAAAAATCAATGAGAACAAATATCTGTCTCATATACGACTCAGTGCAGTCAGACACAGAACTAAACTGGTATGCAAGATAATGGTTACTCTAGAATTTTTACATGATCTCTCCAGTACTCCTCCCACCATATCTCACTCACACCTCCACACACCATCTTCTCTCTTAGTCTCATGAATGTTGTTACCATGAAATGCTCGGTGACATCATTATAGCCCTTTTTGGACTGTTTTTGTACTTTAGTTTAGTACCCTTAGAAAGCTGTATGGCATCAAAACACAAGGTAGAAACATAGTGAAGAAAAGTAAAAGTAATGAGATCTTGACATTAATACAATAACTCAGGGTTCTGGATACGTAATGTGGAGGTAGCATCTCTTAATTGTGAGTAAAACATGAAAGAGAAGATTTGAGCCATGTGAGCCAGCATGAAGGCTTTGGCTTCTATAAGTGCTAAAATACCTCATGTACATTATATTGTACATTGTTATAATGGAGTTCTTACATTGAAAAATTATACAGTAAATATTATATTGAAAAATTAGAAAAATACAAAAGAAATTATAAGAAAGCCTAATTTATTGATGCTGTCGCTGTGCGAGAAAAAGCCTGTAGCTTTGACAAATTCCTGGTTGCCACCAACGAAGCTAGTGACAGGCGTGCATGTGCTTTTCCAGTAAGCAAAAGCTGTGTCGCAAACATCATGAAGTAATTTAATTTGCATAATGTAAAGTTGCAGTATAAGTTGATGCAGAGTCATCTGGCTATGAAGCTGCTTCATGATTTAACCTAGAATTCCTGGAAAAAGAATACCTTCCTTGACCAGGTGTTCAGTGACTATTAGGAAATAAGACATACAGTACATATCAAAGAATAGAAGGCACCACATGTGTTCAAAGAACATTGGTTCTAAGAATTTAAAGATATTTACTCTTCTTTTTGTAGCAATGAAATTGGTCATTTTAATTGTAAACCTTTGTTAATGTACCATGGAGAAAGCATTAAACGGCAAAAATATACAGCAATTGGTGTTTGTTTGGTGATCCCATAAGGAGCCCTGGGCTACAATTACATTGATAAATGATTGGTTGCACAACAGTTTTATACATGAGACCACAGACAAATGTGCAGGATATTTGAGTTGAAGTTTTTCCTGATTTTACATAGTAGCCCCTGCAATGACCAAGCAACACTACTATTTAATTCCCTAATATTGAGATAATGTTTTACTATCTAACACCACATCAATTCTGCAACCTGTCAATCAAGGAGCTAGAAAGACATTCAAGTTTTACTACACTTGCAACGTCAACAGACATGCAAACCAACCTATTGACTCTGTTGTGTTGTAAAATGTAAATTAATTTGGGAAAGAAAAGAATATCAAACATGGCATCAATGTTACTAAAATGTCATGGGAGAAGGTGAAACTACCTTAAAAGAAAGCTGGTGTAGTCTTTTAGAAGAAGTATTAAACAACTTTAAGGACCTCCCAAATGCGGACAAGGAAACTGCAGAACTTGTGATTTTTGCAAAAGAAATTGGGATGATGGTGTTTGAGGATATGAAACACAAGGAGGTGAATGTGCTGCTGGATTCAATTTACAAAGAACCAATGAATGTGGACCTAATACACATGGTAGCTGATAGAGAACGCTAAAATGATTATGCTAAAGAGGATGAATCGGTTAAGCCTGTCCTAATTGTGAAGGCTATCTGGATTTCTGTGCAATATGATATGCAGGCAAATAATGCTGTTGACATGTATCCAATATTGGAACGAAGCCTTACATTTAAAGGAATTTAGTACTCTTTACACCTTACAGGGAGAACTTGAAAAAAGTTTTTTAAGCTTAAAAAGCCACTTCTAAACATACAATATAATGATTTGGTGCACATCACAATCAATGCATAATTTATCATTTATCAAAATCGGTAGGTGTTGATGGGAAAACACTGCACCAAAGGACACATTGATGGGAGAGAAGTGAAGCTTGACATTTTGTATTCACATGTAGAATTGTTTTAGCTCCAAAAGGCATTCTGTGCATTAATAATAATAACAACAATAATAACAACAACAACAACAACAACAACAACAATAAACTTTATTTTATATAGCACCTTTAAAGGTGGCTTCTCAAAGCGCTTAAGAAGAACAAATTCAAATTAATCAATAGTTTGAGCTGAATTTTCCTTTCTAAACTTGGGTTTAGTATTCTTGACTTTAAGTACGCTTTTTGTACCTTCTACCTCATGGATATATGATTCATCAGGGGTTTTAAGACATCCTTCAGAGCATGATTTTACTGCCATTAAATGTATTATTCATACAAGCTGAGCAAGTTATCTACCTTTTCCCACTACAATTGCTCTACAGGAACACCAAATAAATGTCACAATACAATATACCTAAG